CCATAGAATCCCTATTGACGAAAAAATGTTTTGTATTCAAGCTTATATATTCATTACTGTAATAAATCAACTAATTTGGTTCAACTGGTCACGAACAAATGCGCTATTTATCTTGAAACTTGATGTTGACGCATTAAACTAAAATTCGAACCGCATTCTCCAACGTTTCATGACTTGGTTTTGTTTTTGCTTGTACCGCTACCGATCACAAACGAGTTTTCGAATGAAGATTTCCGTGGAAAATGTTCAACGCGCTATCAATAGGGCATCGCATGGCTGCCTCGTGTATTTTTTTTGTTATACACAGATTTCGGGGTTAACCCTATAGTCGAGAAGCCCTGCTGTACAGAGATGGCAATCGGCAACCTAAACCTCGGGACTTGAAGTGACGAACCACATAAGGCCCCGGAATGTTATACCTGATATTGAACAGGACGAAAGCAAAGCTACCTGTCACCGAATTTGGTTGGTGGCGGCGGGGTTCGAACCGCAGACTATAGTGTCCAAAGCACGCCGGTCATAGCGACTAATTTATTGGGCATGATTAAATTCAGCTACGGTTTGACTGTGTCTACGCATTGTTTGTGACCATCCGACCAAAGATCCACTGAGTATATCCGAAGTCACCTTTCATTAATTCTCAATCTTTAGCACTGCTGCATAGAAGTCGGTAATTTATTGTTGGATATGACTCCGCACGCGTCCTCAGAGCAGTTTTAACTCATCTGGTGGGGTAATCAGACGAGCAATCCTGAGGTTAGGCGTAGAGTTTTAGGTAGTCGCGGTCATCCACTGAAGCGGGTAGTCGACCTCCATAGATTACATTGGATGGGATATGTGTTACGCATGTCACTATATTGGTTGCCTACGGCGAGCGATGTTTACCGAGGCAGTTAGCGATTGGAAAAATGTCAAGGGCGGTCAAACGAAGACCTGGTTTGAGGGTATGAAAACCCTGACCGAGAGACTGGGTCACATAGGTCCCGTTAGGCTCCCTGACTAGGGACCCCGAGGTCATGGTCACCGGTGGTTACAGACACAGCGATATGGCTGGGTGGCGCAAACACTGATGCTCATGCATCTACTCATTATTCTTATCAAATCAATCTATAGGAATACTCCATCTTCCGCTTAATTTTGCCCTCAACATTCCAATTTTCATTCTGTTCTTTTATCCAAATGGCCAACCAAAACCGGCACACAAAAGTACACGTTGTCAAAACTGAAAAATCTGAGGTATGCACTGTTGACGATTCCTAGTGAGAATGGACGAGCTATTTTGGGCTGTGTTGACCACACCATGAAGAATTCCGTTGTGTATTACAACCTTGAGATTACAAAAACGTTTATCCGTGGACTGCACATGGACGGCAGGAAGATTTGGGGCATGAGATCAATACACTTTATTTACGTTCATCGGCTGGCACGTAACACATCAGTTTGCAAATAATAATTATAACAGAGATGAAAAACAGTCATTATATAGGCGTGATTGGATGTTCAAAACCCATGATGACAGCAACACAAACCATTGAAAGAAACTTAACTTCGTCGATTACAAAATACATGATGACACCCGTCCTATAGTTTTCCTGACGTAATGCATTACGTAATCACCTCTCGAAGTTCAGCTTTATGAGGGACGTTGCTCAGTATCCCACACAATTCACCCCGTTGTGTGCGAAAGAATTTGTGCGTATCGTACTGACTAAATATGCATAATTAATTGATTAATTAATTCTATACAGCGCAGGCATCGCACTACCTTTGCTTCCCACTCATCCTCATGATTTCTATTTAACTGCAAAACTGACGATAATTTTCTTACTGCGTAAGGTGGAGTTCAGCGCAAAGTTCCAACTGAACAATGGGGTTATGTAAAAATATCAACCAAACAATGATCCATATTTCTCTCCATTGTCTGGTGTGCATAGATTTTTGCCGCATCTCGATTTTCTCTGCCATATTTGTGTTTAACGAGGTATACTGACACGGGTTACTTTAATCTTTTATCAAGTAATGTATACGATAGATTTAGTTTAAGTGTACACTGTATACGAGAGGATGCAGGGAACATACGAGCTCAAATCAACTTGTTATTTCTGGGTTCCAGATACGCGGATGTTGTATTTAGGACAAGGATTTTTCAGTGTTGTACTATTCCCAGGGGAAAAACTGAGGTTAGAAATGCAATACCTGGGGAAAGTCATTTGGAATGGACGGCTAGCTTGTACGAGAGACCCGTGAAAGCGGATAGGGCATGTCTAACTCATTCAGGGAAGCTGGAATTTCTGATTTCAAGCCTCTTAAATATGGGCATATGGACTGTCTGGGATATCTTCATTGGCTTTATTGCGTGATGAAATGTGTTGCGCACGCCGGAAGCGTGCATCACATCTCAATAATTCACAGTCTGTCTGATCTGACATCAATCTCTAGCGAATTGCGGTCTTCACATTGCTTTTCTGCCTCATGGATCAGATTCATACCGTGCAAAAGCTCTGGTTGTGGATTCCTAAAAGAACTGCCTGATTGACTTAGGGAAACTAGACTGTATAGAATAATTTCGTTCCTACATGCACATTCTACGGTTTGTTCAGCACGTAGTCGGAGTGCAGGCTGGTGTGAAGTAAACTTGTATCGGCCGTAAACAATAAACATGGAGGGCATATCGAATTATGCCCAGATGATAAAATCCGTTTGACATAGCACGCTTCGAGTTTGAACATTTTTTGTGGCATGTTACTCTATAATTGTGCCCGTGTTGTTTGTGTTCTCGCTTTTGATGCATTAGATGCACGCCCCGTATTGTCTGTTTATGTTTGAACCATTTCAGCCGATCGACTCGATCGTCCGGAGATCGCGCTCACTTTAGCCGAGAGGTTTGCGGATTGTGTGCAAATGGTGCGTTTGTGTTACTTGTTAGAGATGCAAGATGAGTTGAATGCCGAACACGATCCGGCTCATTGGTCTACAACGGATTCCTCGTCCACTCGATTCCATCACCGAAGACTGGCCGAATTGCTAAGACGTGTGCCTGCCTCTTACGGTTTGGCCGATCATGCGTTACAGGTTCGTTGGTCCGCGTTTTTTTTATCGTCTACGCAATGTATTCCCAATATCTCATTGGTTCGAATGAACCACTAAATGCAATGTCAACGGCTCATAAAACTTGTCCCCAACAAGGCCCTACTTGATTGTTTTCAAAGATGCACAGCGTTTGGACCAAGGAGCGTGTATCATCATACGCAGACACGTTGTGGATCGTTCCTATGCCGAAAAGTGTTCAGTTATTCTGTCAACCACCGTAGTGAGATCGATTAAAACCTGATGAGGCTTCGCCGCTTGATATTACTAAACAACCGTTCAGATTACCACCAGGTCGAGGTTGGGATGAAGCAACTGTTCATCTCTTGTCAACTACTGTACTAAATTTATTCGAATCTCACCGATGCACAGTTCCGGTTTTCATCAGTATTGTTCATACTGAAAATGCATCTTTTAAGAGGTGCATAAAGCAACTATTTGACTCTACCAAGAGGATTAGGATCATGACACCTGAATTTTAATGTATATAGAGCATTTTTTGTGATCACAAAGCCCGATTTCATTCTCTTTTCGTGAGGCGTCACAGCAGTAAATAATCCAATTGATGGAAGTTATTCTTTTTTTTTAAAGTTCTTTCATTTGGCTCTCCGCTTAATTGATTTCATCATTGAAAATTATCTTGAAAGATTGGGATTGAATATGCAGTATAGTGAATGTATCAACCGTATTATTCTTTGACCGTACGGAAAGTACACAAAGCGAACGTAACAGGCACGCACAAGTCTTGTGTGTGTTTGAGTTGTGTCTCATCAGAAATGTACCACCCGCTATTTGTGCTTACTTTGTGTGACTGGAAGAAGTGTCGCGGCGACCAGTTCATGATTGTGCATCGGAGTTCACGGCAGCATTAATCTCTATTGGTGATTTCCAATTGACCGACTCGGTTCCGAGCGATGACGATTAGAAATCGAGGTATATGACAGAGAGTAGAGTCCAGAAGGATGAATACCTCGTTTGTCTTTTCTGAGTAGCTTTTAAGCGATTGCCAAGGTTTCGAATAGCATACGAGGTGCCGAAATACTTTTCGTGTCAGCATGGCGTTTCACCACTGTTTTGCACCCTGGTTTTGGTTTTAGTGACGAGACAAATTTCTTTCGAGAAAACAATGGTCTGCTTGACATTTTCGTTGAATTTGGCGTCAAGTTAGTTGTCTTTAGTCTGGTGATAGACTCAGTGTTTCTGATTACTTTGCTGCGTA